CGATCGCATAGATGTGAGCTACTGTACCCAAAATTGAAGAGCAGTTGTGCTGATTGGCTCACCCAAAATAAAAGCACACACTAAGGGCTAAAGTCACACTGGCTATGGGTAGGCTTTACGCGCCACCCCCTGGTTGGTTGTACCTCTTCACTACACTTTCCTGTATATTACCGTACCAAGAGAACTAAAGGATAACGGTTGAGACTTGCACAGGGACGGGGCGCAAACTCCGCCCACAGGACCAGCTCGCAATGTTTTTAGCGGTTTCGAACAGCTTTTGCTCTGATTAATTACTGGTGAACTTATTACTACAACTGCATTCATTCGCGAGCGCAAAGCCCACACCTACTCAATCGTGGAATGTGCCTTCTAAATCGTGAGATTCCGCTATCAGTCTATCTGCTGGTTCCGCTCATCAATCGGACTAGATTAGAAAAAAAAATCGAACCTCCCAAAAAAAATGGAATAAAAGATTTCATCCCAATTTTTGTACCATTTGTTTCTTCTGTCACAGCAGTACTATGGCGCAATACACTGAGCACATCGTTCATTCTAGGTGGCTCGTGTGAATCCAGGTGGGTGGGTCGACGCGTTTTTGATGCAGAAGCCGTATTCAGCCGCTGGGAAATGAGAGGAGCGACAGCGATCACTGCCGCGGTGGCGCGTAGCCCTTTCATAAGGACATAGAACAAAAAATCGAATCTTACAAAAAATGGAATAAAAGATTTCATCTCATTTTTTTTTCAACCATTTGTTTCTACTGAAGGTTCGCGGCACTGTATAATTCAGCCACACTGTATGACACGATTGTGTGAGGAAACAACATAAAAAAATATGTATAAGAAGTTCAAGTTGGGCCATATTTTTAGGTTATCCGTACTCCGTCAATGTTTGTCTTTATGGATTTCAACAACCACGGAGACCAGAATGAGCATCAGCGATGAAGGTGCTGTAGTTCCATCGACAGAAAAGCATTAAGGTGTGTTTTTCACTACTACTGTAATTGTGATCATCGTGAAAGACTCTAGAAGAGGAAGACATCCCTCGATGTGTCAAGATCCTGTACAACTATAAAGGCACGCGCTCAGCAATTTCAACGCATGGACGTAATGCAGCGCGTCATGATTATACACTGCCCTACTTACGAGGCCTTTTTACGCCTTATCAGGAGGATCTTCTCCTTCAAGGAAATAGTAGTCGCTAAGGGTTTGAAGCACTCAGGCATTCATTTAAAGAGGCCGCCACGATAAATTTAAAGTTTGATAAGGAAAGTTACCTAGTGAAAGACAGGCGGACTTCCGGGTGGAGCGACACACAATTCGCAAGTCGCAAGTCGAATTTGCGATTTAGCACTCCCCTATCGGCGTGGCACGCCCACGGAATGGCTTATCACTAGCCGCAGGTCTCAGCTTTCAAGTAGAAAGAGCATTAGTGTTGAAGACACCAGCACAGATGAGAGTCGCATCAGTGCGGAAATCAACGGACAAGAGGGTCCCATTTCTAGGGTTCTGTGCTGTTCCCCCTAGTTTTTTCTTCACCCTGCGCAACTGGCCACCTTTGACCTCAATTTTAATGGGCTACCTTTTAATCGTAAACTCCGCCTCTGATGTAAACGGAATAACAGCACAGCGTCCTTTCGTAGCAGCATACGAAGTGCTTGAAAGCTACCCCAGGGTTACTGCATGTCAGTTGTTCGAAGTACTCGCTCATTACAGTAAAGAGGGAGGCAGCGTAGGACCACCGTCCACACTCCTTGAAGAGCCACGTAATAATCATCCGACCAAACTTATCTGTGCCAATTTGCAAAAACGCTGCATCACCAGGGTCGTGCTCATATTGGCAGACCAGATGACGAGGACTCCATTTTCAGCAAGAGCAATTCAAACCTCGCAAGAGTGAGGTCGGAGCTACAATCGAAGCGACCACCATTGGCCATAGAGAACTAGTCGTGTTGTACAAATGAAGGAACTCGGAACGTCACTAATTCGGAGCTCTCGAGAGTGACTGATGTGGTGTCCGCAACTGGAAAGTTTATGCCAGTATGTCTCTCAGGGAAGAGGCCAGACGCATCCTATCCGCTGTTCTGTCGCCATCCACGCTTAAACAGTATCCCCATCTGGACCCGCGGCCTTCACATCATTATTCTTTCTTCTTTTTCTACGAACGTTCTTCCCTGTCAAGAGTTCGGTAGACAACCAGCCTTTTATCTGCATGCGCCTCTGCGGATATTTTTGAGACACCTTCTCAAAGATAAAAGATTTCGTTAAGGCTTTCCCAAAAATCTGGCGTCGGTATCACGCCTGAAAGGTTCACTAATTATACTGTGACCATCGCCAGAAGAGATGGAGAACGAAAAATTGGCGAACTTGCCACCAAACCTTCCTCGACTTGGAGGAAATGTGACCATTTACCTCGACCAGTGCTCTGCAGGGCACTCATGGAAATGAGTGTCCCGAAAATTTCAGTTGCGCTAGGAAAGGTATGTATGATGGCAAGTACATCCACACGCGGCGCATGGCCTATCCGGGGAGGTAGACATCATCGTGGGAATACACGGAGAACCAGCTTTGAGCACGTTTCTCCTCGCTCTAGTCTTTGAAGCCACTCATGGAAGTGCAACTGAAGACTGTCCCCTATGCTGAGGGTAACACTCATAGCAGACAGTAGATTTAAAGCAGGGTGCAAAAAAGTAGCAACGGTTAGCAAACACTGAAATTTCCTCAGGGAGTGCTGACCGCTGGAAAATGATAGAACACCAATTAAGAAAACTTCAAAAGGGTGGAGTATTTTTATTAGTTGGGATTGTTGTAGGTGACGTGGATCATGCACCACAGAAATCGATCGAAGGGGTATGGAGAAATGAGATCCACTGATGTTCTCTATAAAGGCCGATGTCATAGTTTGCAAGTGGAGCGATTCGCTGGCGAATCGAATTCCCAAACTATGACACCGGCCTAAGGGGACGCTACTCTAGCACTCAAAAGCGAGGTGTAAAGGACAGTGAGTGGCAGTGTTCTTCGGCGGCGCATCCTGGACCGTGAAGAGAGACTATGAGAGACAGCTTTGTTAAAGGAAGCGATTACGATAAAGAGGAGCGCATCGGGGAAGCATATGCACCACACGAAGCAGTTACTTGGCTGCCAAGGAAGCGAGGTGTGGCGCTTTCACGACGAAAGGTGCGCTGGTTGCTGAGCAGGACTTCGAAAGCACTCCGCCCCAAAAGCGATCCGCCCACTAGTTTAGTTGGTGATTTGGACGAGCTGCGTTGCCAGCAGCGGCACAACTGGAGCAACTCGATTGGAGCGTGGTTTGGCATGGTGCCACCAAACGCGTTGCGGTGAACTCGTTCATACGTCCTGCTTCTTGGCCGTGCCTGTCCTTCAGCGAAAATCTACGGACAAATAATGAGGTCTCCTTTAGCTACTGACGTACCACTGAGCACACCCACATTCTCCAACCCCTCCGAACCCATCGTGATGGCTGCCTTTGAGCTGTTATTGAACTCTTATCATGTCGTAACGGTGACGCTCGCGCATGGAAAAGATCTGCTTGACATACATGCTATTCTCTTTCCATTCTCAAACTAATTCAGCTCAATAAAATGGTGGTGTGGCCATGTACCGATGAACATCCCAATAGGATCTTGACACATTAAAAGTTAGGATATTCTTCTCTAAAGTTCTTCACAACAACCACAATCACAACAACGACGAATAAGAAACCTTTTATCTTTTTGGTGTCACGACTGCAACACCTTCATTCCTGATTATTGGCATTTGATCTTGATAAAGGTGCACAGACGAGGAAATGCGCTGAAGATCAAAGGAACATCCAACCTGAAAAAAAAAGAAAGTCTATAAATTTTCCTCACACGTTCGCGTCATTTACAGCTCAGTTCGGGCTCCATAATACCCTCATGAGAACGCTAACATCACCGTATTTAGCGCTAACCACTGCGCGTTTTCAGTCCTATCTCTCACTTTCCACAGAATTCGAGAGGGTCCACTCGAGTGTAGAAGAAGGTACTCCTCGACCACGGCTTAGACTCACACGAGCATCTGCGAAGTGCTTAGCTTGTAAGAAATACCGTACTGCAGCTATTCACCGCATTTTACCCTCGTCACGAGCAAATTGCTATTGCAAAGGCTCTACGGACGTTTTGAACATGTTTTTGATAAGAAAATACTGAAAGTCTTACTCATAGTTGTGAAAAGTTGCAGCACATACTACATCCTCCACGTTCAACAGAACCAGTACAAGCAGCACAGTTCAAATATTCTGCCGCGTCGGGTTAAGGTCACACGACTTCTGTAAGCCTCTGCAATAGTGTGCATGCGTGAGAGCTCCCAGCCAACGCCACTCGCTGAACTGTCTACCCTCACGGTTGACAGAAATCCTATGGCAAGGGTGAAAATCGATTGAGGATTCGTCGATCACTCGTCGAGGATTTTCGTCTGCTCAGGTGGGGGGTCACGATCTCTCGCCCGCGCGTACGTTCAGCGTCTTACCGCGCGTGAGCCGCCTGTGCTTTCGGCGCGTATATTCACTCTCGTACTACTCTCACACAGTACGGAGACATGACCGAGGAATTCTCGACCGTTATTCGCCCTGCCTGAGACCTTAGGTCAGCTTTGGAAAATCGGAACAACTAGCTTCGCTACATAGCCACACTGATAGCCAGCCGACAGTCAACCAAACCGAACGCATTTGAAATGCCATGTTTGCAGGCTCCGATCACAACCCTGGTCTACAGGATTATTGCTTAGGCGGATTGCAAATAATTGCTAAATGGCTGAGGAGATTAGGAGCTCCGAAGATGTAGGAGGAAAAGAAGCTGTAAGACGCAAAAAGTACATGGCGGCGAATATGATGATCTGTTGAGGTAAACACGTCTGCCGTTTAATGGCTGTGTTTGTCTCCAATTTCTGATAAGTGGAGCGTTCAACGATGTTAAGAAGGCCGCGTAACGTCGACAGCTGAAAACCAAAATATGATAGAAACTGCTATCTCGAAGTAATAGGTTGATTTTCTCACATTTGTGCCGAGAACATTTCCTAAATTTTCCTCCCAACAGTCTCGGATGGACTAAACTCACCTGTTTATAGGAGATATCCGTGGTGTCATTTAAAACCACCCAAACCACTCCTTCTGAACAAGGTGGGGTTGTCAATGAGCCTAAATATCAATCAGTAGGTTAGAAATCCAAAACTGAAACGTGTATGCCTAAGAAACCTTGTCCTACCTTTTCCATCTTGGAGCCGAATTAGGGAGTACCCCGCCCACTTCTGTGCACGCCCCGCCCACCATTGGCACTTACCTTCTACTGCTCCTCCCGCCTTCATTCACTACTTTCCCTATTTCTTGGCCTCCCCGAAGCAGAGTTACGAGGGTTTCTAGGAAACCCCACCCTATAAACAACCCCATAACAGTGCCCCGTCCATCGCTGGCGATCTCCCCAATTACTTGGCTACCCGGTGCACATCCTTACCAATTTTTTCCTGGTCTCTTCGGATCCAATTTGGGCAACTTTATCGCCGTTCATCTCTTCTCTATAGTATGCAAGAATTTGAACTTGAGTCACGGCATTTCACTTGTTGCGTTTTTCTTCAGCTATTCTATCTATCAGTAATAAAAGATTGAATTGTATCACTTTTAAAGAAGGCGAAGGAGTGTGTGGTGACGGTTCCGTGGAACGGCAATAAACTGAAAGAAAGTAGTGATCTGTTGTTGGAAATGGAGGTTAGGGAACACGAAACCTGTGAGGTAACCTGCTCAAAATACTCAGCCTCGCCATATGTAGACACTATGCTCAAATGTGGGCAATTCAGGCTGTGCTGTTTGTGTAGTAGAAGAAA